AATTACTGACATATGCAAATCATTGAAATATGCAGATAAACAAAGTGAAACTTATCTCTGTTTACTTTCCAACAGACTGGAACCTAATGCCACAAAAATATTTATTTTCCCAAATGCAAGATTTAGAAAAGTCCTATAAAGTCAAAAGGATATTTTAACAAAACACAATGTACAATAGCAGACTAATGCATAGTTGGCTACAGACTAGTGTTGGGAATTGGTTAAAATCTTATAATTGATGATTGGTTCATTACAACCGATCAATCATCGAAAATAGTTGGTTAGCTTTATTTATCAAATTGTCCTGGTTATGTTTGTTAATGTACACAACATAAAGAAAAAACATGTAGTTATTTCGGTTGTTTTGGCAAATTTCATGACTTTAAAGGATGACTAATATGTTAGGAACATAAATTTCCTGGAGTCTTCAACATATTTTTAAATCATGACTTAGAACGAGCTTGTAGTGCTTATGAAACGCAACAAACAAAACCAACCTTGTGATAAATATTGTCAATGCAAACAAGTGTTTGTGTTCGTGTTCAATTATGACAAAATGTTATCGATTGCTTGGTCGTTTAGTCATTACGACCAATTTTCGATTATTTCAATCACCACTACTACAGATATGTAGTAGAACAAACCATTCTCTGACAGAATGGAACACCTGGTGTTAGAGCACAGAGAGCAGCCTGTAACGACAGTGTAACACCAACTTGGCTTTATGTTTCCCATGCAATAACAACCCAACCAGATAAATGTGCAAAATGATACAAATGGATAATGACAAATAATTTGTTTGTAATATAGACCTACCTAACACATTCACAGTTACACCCAGAGAGGGAATATGGGCTTTGGCCACCTATAACACTGTGTGGAGATGGTAGGTCTGAGTGCATTACATCAAGAAAAGCAACAAATAACAGAAGAAATACTGTCATCAAATTAAATACAAGAAGACAAAGTCATCAATATCCCCCGCAATGGCAAAATACTCTTCATTAATATATCTACTAGTTATGATTATGTCAAATGTTTTGGCGTGTATATAGCAAAGTGGAAGGAGAGTATTGAAAGGTTTTGAAGCTCTGCTCCAGAAAGGAGCACTTCCCCAAAATTCAGTCTAAGTCAAACTTGCTGCCATGGAGATGCAAAAAATATTTTATTCAGAATTCAAAAACTACCAAAAGGCACCATCTCACTACCAGACCTATCTATGTGCCAAGTTTGGTGAAGAAATATTGAATGGTTTTAAAGTTCTGCTCCAGAAAAGGGGAATGTGCATGGACAGACGGGTATTTTAATAACCCCCCACAATGTGGATAAAAATAGATGAGGTGTGGTGAAATTGGGTTTAACGTTGCGCTGGAGAATATTTCGCTCATATGACGATGCATGCATGTGTATGTGTATGTGCGGCTGCTTGTACTAGCCCAGACTGAGGCTGGTTTTACAGTGCTAGCCCACTGAGATAGCATGCCGCAGTGTAACATGAATACCCCACTCAGACACATTACAATGACTCCGAGTCAACCAGTCCTTGTTGTATCCATTAATGCCGAGCGCCAGACAGGGACCAACAAGTACCATATTTTAACGTCTTTTGGTATGACGCGGTCGGGGATCGAACCTGCGACCTTCCGCTCTCTGGGCGGACGCTCTAACCACTACACCATGGAGGCAGTCCCGGATAAAAATAAGTCCACGAAGACTGTGAGTTGTCCTTCACTACATATCTTGACACAAAACATCATACGAAAATACAAAAGTGATTGAGTATGATTTTACCCCACTTTTAGCAATATTCCAGCAATATCACAATGGGGGAATCAAACTTGTACGGGGGAATCGAACTCGGGTCTTCAGAGTGACGAGCGGACACTTTAACCTTCAGGCTACCCCACCGCCCCGAGAAAATACAATTTGAGCTTTTCGTTTTCAGCTTTTGCGAAAATACAATAGGCTGAAAACCCAATAGCTCAAATGAAAACTGTCAGTATCGCTGTGGAATTTATCCGTGAATATCAAGAATGAACCTGACAGATTATATCCACTAATCTTGTGAAAATTATCCATGGTTTCACTTGCACAATTCATTTAATGCATGTGACAAATTACATGAAGCGATTCACCAATCACAGAGACAGCAGAAGCTGGCCCTCTCTCCTGGTAAGCTGTGAGGCATCTGCCCTAACACATAACCTTTGATCACCCAGTCACCCCTGGGGGTACTTTGGGAGGGTTTATGCAGACGAGAGTGGTAATGAAATAAAAATTGCTAATTTCCCTTATATCTCCAAAATGGCCGATTATGAGGTCCATGAACTTCAGAACTAATTGTCCCAAACAGTATGATTGATTGCCATAGTTGTGTTATTATGAAATGTTATTGTATAAATGTCCCTTAACTCGTGAGGGGCAAACAAGCAGCTGACTACGATGCTTCTGGGGTCAGTTCAACATGGGAGTCTTAAAAATGTCACTGTGGGACTCGCAAATTTAATTTGTTGATTGTCAGATACTTTTGCACTAAGCATGCAGTGGCACACGTACTTTCTACATATTCCTTGGGAAAAGTGAAAGATTTTACTTTTCAAAAGAAAAATGTGGCATAAATTTACAACAGGAAAAAAACATGAAATTTTGTTTAAAAAAAAAAAATATTACAAAATGATCAGGACACAAATAAGTAGGGTTGAGGTTAGACTAACAGTAGTCTCTGAAATGAACATATGTTACAGAAAAAAGCTCAAAGTAAAAAAATAAAGTATAATGAAAAGGAGCCCTGAGACTGTGGAAATCTGGACTTGCGTGGGCTTTCTTGGATATATTTACTTCAGGGTCTGAATGAAAGACCAAGTAGAGGTTCATGCATTGGCTCATCACAGTGAAGACCCAGGTTTGATTCCCCACATGGGTACAATGTGCAGAAATATTACGAAAAGCATCGATATATCTCATTCACTATAAATGGAATCGATTAATGTTAACAGATCATGTTTTAATTCTCCTTTTATCAAATGATGTTTTGCAAATGTTTTGCTGATACTCCCTTCAAGTTCAGTCAGTTAGTTGTCTGATATTGGAAGCTGGACACACTGATGACTCGAAATGTGTTCATAGACACAGTCATATTGAACTGTGTAACTCTTTTAAATCTCAAGTCCCAAATATGTTTTACTATTGCAGAACACAAACAATCTTTGGTATTGAAAAAGGCTTTTGAGGATCTGTCAAAGAATAAACTAAACAGGTTGAGTCATGTGACAGATCAGGTAGTGTCATTTGACATGGTTGGTTGTGTCATATGACAGTGCTGGCTGTGACATGACAGGGTTGGTTGTGTCATATGACAGTGCTGGATGTGTCATGACAGGGCTGGCTGTGTCATGTGACAGGTTTTGTTGTGTCATATGACAGTGCTGGATGTGACATGACAGGACTGGCTGTGTCATGTGACAGGGTTGGTTGTGACGTGACAGGGCTGAATGTGACATATTACAGGGTTGGTTGTGTCATATGACACTGCTGGATGTGACATGACAGGGCTGGCTGTGTCATGTGACAGGGTTGGTTGTGTCATGTGACAGTACTGGCTGTGACATGACAGGGATGGCTGTGTCATGTGACAGGGTTGGTTGTGTCATATGACAGTGCTGGATGTGACATGACAGGGCTGGCTGTGTCATGTGACAGGGTTGGTTGTGTCATATGACAGTGATGGCTGTGACGTGACAGGGCTGGCTGTGTTATGTGACAGGGTTGCCTGTGTCATATAACAGGGCTGACTGTGACATGACAGAGCTGGCCGTGTCATGTGACAGGCTTGGTTGTGTTATGTGACAGGGCTGACTGTGACATGACAGGGCTGGCTGTGTCATGTGACAGGGTTGGTTGTGTCATATGACAGTGCTGGATGTGCATGACAGGGCTGGCTGTGTCATGTGACAGGGTTGGTTGTGTCATATGACAGTGATGGCTGTGACGTGACAGGGCTGGCTGTGTTATGTGACAGAGCTGGATGTGGCATGACAGGGTTGGTTGTGTCATATAACAGGGCTGACTGTTACATGACAGGGCTGGCTGTGTCATGTCACAGGGTTGGTTGTGACATGTGATAGGATTGGTTGTGTCATATGACAGGGCTGGCTGTGACATGACAGGGTTGGTTGCGTCACATGACAGGGCTGGCTGTGATGTGACAGGGTTGGTTGTGTCATGTGAAAGGGGTTGGTTGTGTCATGTGACAGGACTGGTTGTGTCATGTGACAGGGTTGGTCATGTCATGTGACAGGCCTGGCTGTGACATGACAGGGCTGGCTGTGTCATGTGACAGGCCTGGTTGTGACATGACAGGGCTGGCTGTGACATGTGATAGGATTGGTTGTGTCATGTGACAAGGGTGGTTGTGTCATGTGACAGGGCTAGCTGTGACATGCAACAGGGCTGGTTGTCATGTGACAGAGCTGGCAGTGTCATGTGACAGGGCAGGTTGTGTCATGTGACAGAGCTTGTAGTGTCATGTGACAGAGCTTGCAGTGTCATGTGACAGGGCTTGTTATGTCATGTGACATGGCTGTGACATGACAGGACTGGCTGTGTCAGTGTCAATATGACACAGAGCTGGCATGTGATAGGGTTGGTTGTGTCATGTGACAGGGCTGGTTGATGTGACAGGCCTGGTTTGTGACATGACAGGGATGGTTGTGTCATGACAGAGCTGACTGTGTCATGTGAACCGGTGTGGCTGTGACACATGAGCTGGATTGTTGTGTCATGTCATGTGTCATGTGACAAGGCTAGGCAACAGGGCTGGTCATGTGATCAGTGTCATGTGACAGTGACATGTGACAGGACTGGTGACACAGAGCTGTCTTGTGACACAGAGCTGGTTGTGTCATGTGACAGAGCTGGTACTGTCTTGTGACAGGGCTGTGACCGGGCTGGCTGGCTGTGACAAGGCAGGTTGTGACACTGATGTGACAGCTAGAACCCACCTTCAGCGTCTCCTCATCCATCATCTTACTAAGGTCCATTGACTCCAGCATGCTTCGAGTTGGACGGTTGTAAGCTCTGTTCACAAATGCTGGGTGGGTGTCAAAATGTTTGGCAGGATCAAAGTTCTTGGCTACAAAAAGGAGAAATTTGTTGAAAGTTTGGACTCAGTGAAGGTTATCAATTATTTTAACACATTGGAACACACTGGAACATGTCTCACCCTTTAAGAACTGAACCTATCACATTGTGAAATAAACAAGAGCCACTGCCACTTTGATTTCCAGGAACCATATATACACACTATACAGCCAGGATCAATTTCTGGTTGACCATTTCTGCAATGTTATGACAGAAGTCTGTATCAAACTGCTCTTATCAAGATAATGAAACATTTTGGCAACAGCTCACCTTCTTTCTTGCTGTCCACAAAGACAATGTGTTTATTTTTGGGTTTGCTCTCGCTGTCTATCAGCTGCAGTGATGACTTCAGCTTCTCAACTTTCTGAAAACCACAAGTACAGAAACATGACCAAAACATCCCTCGTACAATAAACAACATAAGATGTCCTACTGACATACAGTAAACTATGCCTATAACATACTAACAGGCATAATAACCTGAGTTTGGGGTCCTGACCATTTGCCATGTAACTTAATCAAATGTATATAAGGAATTACTGTTATAACAAACTGAAACACTGGCCCCTTTGTTTACTTACTTTACCCCACTTGGTATTGATGTTTTGGTATTAGCAATTAACACAATATGATCCTTAGCCCCGAAAATATGAAATGATATATTTCACAGGTGTAAAGAATGGGTTTGTCCAGGACATTGCACATCTATTACTCTATTTTTAAAATCCAACCAAACTGGCTGTGGCATGAAGCAGTTTGATCCATGTTGAAAGCGTCCTCCAGGTGAGTGACAAATTTTCCCCATTCAGGACTAATCCATCATCACATCATTACACATCATGGATGTAGGCCCATACACCTAAACTTACAGTGCAACCAGCATACTCTTTGAATTAAACATTCTTATTATTGTTTCTCAACTGCACAGCATGAAAAAGACTGACTGACTGACTGACTGAGTTTTACACCGCTTTTAGCAATATTCCAGCAACATCAGGGCGGGGGACACCAGAAATGGGCTTCACACATTGTACCCATGTGGGGATTCAAACCTCTTCGAGCCGATTTAACCATTAGGCTACCCCACCGCATGAAAAAGACACCTTGCCAAACACCTTGCCAAACAGACACTACATGTGTGATAATACATCCCATGAAACAGAAACATGACATACTAATATTCCTTGTGAAGAGGACCCGTGAAGATCAGGGTTAGAATTGGTCTTCAGCAACCCATGCTTGTTGAAAGAGGCGACTAACGGGATCGGGAGGTCAGGCCTTCGTGTCTTTGCGAGGATTAAAGATTTTCAAAAAAATGTTCAAATCTAAATTTTAGATGACCCGTGTCTCAAAATGCTTCACAGTACAATACATCATGACAAGGCCGGACACTTCGGTGCACCCCATCCGCATGCTTTATCAATCGCTAAGCTAACATCGCATGCAATCGATTAAAACTTAATGTAAACATAATCATGGATGATTGGCCTATTGAGCACCACTCATGGCACCTACCAATTCTTAATTGTTATTTCTGCAAGTCGATTAAAATCCAATTTTGGGATGTGATCTAAGCAAGCCCTCTGATTGGTCAGCACTTGTAAATCTGCACATTCTCTTTAAATTTGTGGGATGTGTTACTTTCATCAACTGCTTGACTTGGAAATGTATCAAACGTTTTTCCAGCAATGGCTTCTCAAAAGAAAGCATCAGTTGTAAATGTCTCCTTACCAAGCATCGACCAATCAGAGGGCTTCTTTGACCACATCCCTGTTCTGTGGATACATCATCATCCATTTGTGTCAAGATCCTTCAGTTATGATTCAAAATCAGGCCTAGGCTGGATTATTTACAGGCCGCCACCATATAGCTGGAATATTGCTGGGTGCGGCGTAAAACAACAAACAATACCAACAATCGGATCAGCATACACAAACTAGCAAAATATCATACTCAGTGGATACATATCCATACATCCATGATTTACAAACCATACATCCATAATTTTCAAAATATGTCTTTTCTTTGCTTTCCTTAGAAGTTAAAAAACACATTTTTTAATATTACTTGCCATTTCACATTTACTATACAAACATCAAGTGTTCCCTTAATTCTTTAGAGTCATATATGCTGACATGTGTCTTCACATAAGTGGAAAGAACTACATCAAACCTGAGCAAACCTGAGCTAATACTCGATTTTAAACTTTATGCGTTTTACATCCAATATGTTGTAAGTAGAATTCCATATAGGCAGTGATTTTATATAATGTGTAAGACAATGTTTTGTAACTACTTGTCTGTCTGGCATGCCAGTCTTGTTCATATATGTGGTCACACCTTAGGCAAGTGAGTTTGTTCAAGATCGCCTCTGTTTACCTAGCAATAAATCAAATGGGTACCCGTTGGGAAAAGTAATATGACTATTGACCTTCTAACGCCTCACAGGTAGTGTGGGTTACCGTGGGTATACCATGTCCATATGTTGTATGCGCCTAGAGCATGTCTGTGTGGCGTGGGGTTCAGCACTATATAAGTGGCCATATTATATATGTTTGAGATATATCACCAACTCTGCTACAAACTATCAATACCAGTGGGTGATAGCATGAGCATCAAACAACACCAGTTATCATTAGCTGGTTCTTACAAAGAGCATAATGAGTGAGTGAGATGGGTTTAATAGTGCTAACTATAATCTATTTATATCACAGCATATCAGCTTCATGTAATAGAAAATCCACCCGTGAAGATCGGGGTTAGAATTAACCTTCAGTAACCCATGCTTGTCGTAAGAGGCAACTAACAGGATCGGGTGGTCAAGCTCGCTGACTTGGTTGACACATGTCATCGGTTCCCAATTGCGCAGATCGATGCTCATGCTGTTGATCACTGGATTGTCTGGTCCAGACTCGATTATTCACAGACCACCGCCATATAGCTGGAATATTGCTGAGTGCGGCATAAAACTCAACTCACTCACTAATAGAAAATCTCAAACAGATGCAAGTGATTACCGCTTTCATGAAACCCATGACAACAACAGCCACAATCATGGGTTTCTGGTGTGACCATGGGACACAACTGGTGTTGGAGCCATTGACCGAATAATCGATCAATCATATGATTTCGCATATCGATTGGCTCAGAACACAAAGCGCTATTCACAGAAACTACAACATTAAATTAAACTTTAGAAAGTATGTTTCTTGTTGTCATGTTTGTTAAATCAAGACATAAACAACTGATGCAGTTCCCCATCCCGTAAAAGTGCACTCTAAACAACATACTCAAGTGTATGTCACTTGATTGTCTTGATGGTAGTATTAATCGGTGAATGTTTCGTTTGCATAATGATATGATTGTACACTGTTATTGTCCACACATGTTTTGTGATTGGGGTTTGTGATTATGATTACAATCAATTACTGAATGATTACTGAGCTCCAATTATCAATCTATATTGTAAGTGCTAAGTCTGTACAGTAAATTGTGACGGTTAAGCAGACAGAGCCACCTATGCCCACACAAAGAGCATGGATTACATGTGACATATTTTCCTATTATTTAGTGTTACAACAGATCTACTTAACATACCTTTTTCTCTGTGAATCGTTTAAAGTTGACGTATCTCAGATCCTGCGTCTCCATCAGCTTCAGCTGTTCCTCGGTGTTCATCGGCTCTGAACTCTCTCGTCTCTGATGAACACCATCCTGATGGGGCAATTACAAAATGATATATATCCCTAAATAGTTGATATTCATGAATGAAACGTATTTTCATAAGCATGACCTTTCCATCTCTGCCAGATTACAAAAGGTGAGAAATAGAAGTACTTTGTACCTTTTAAACAATAGTTATTGTCAGATGATATTTTAGGGGAAGTCATCAGGCCAGTCTGGTAGCCTTGTGGTTAAAATATTCGCTCTTCATGCTGAACATGTGGGTTCGATTCCACACAGGGTAAACTGTGTGAAGCTTATTGATGGTGTACCCAGAATATTGCCAAAATTGTCAAAAACCCTCACTTACTCACTCACTTGGATGTCATCACAGGTCATTTGTTTTCAAATGGCAGTGATTACTTTTGCCATTACAAGTGTCACACACACATTGTAAATACTCAGCATTTGTTTAAAATAACATTATGTTAGTGATGTGCTTTATAGCTGTTCATGCGATATTCGAGAAAACCGATGTCCTCAAGTGCCCAAAACCCACAACACAAGAATAACCAATGTTATTTGTTTAGTATGTTATGTTATGCATATGCTGCACTTCAAACATTTCTTAACAGCATTACTATCACAGGGTGTTTTGTTTGCACTAAATCCACCCACCCCAACAAATTCATGCCAAATTGAATATGCTTCATGAGTAGATGAGTAGTCAACAGTAACATTGAAAAACTATCTTACCATTTTCTGAGTTTTCACCATGTTGAAGTAAAACTCATCTGGATTTCTGTCCTCAGCCTTGCGCTTCAGAGCTTTCAGCGTTTTCTGTTTTCTCTGAAAATCGCTGGAACAAACAGATGCGGAATGGTCACTATCTTGCAGATTTGTGCCAGCAGCGATTGTTACCGATCCTACACTAACCTCTGTTGTAGTATTAACAGAGTATGAATGGTAATGTTTCTGATTCTCTGTATCCATAACAACACAGCATTTACAGTGTCAATTATCATTTCCTGGTCATTGCTATAGATATCAACTGAAATGAATAATGTCTCAAATCATATAAATTTCTACTGTATATGAATACAGTTTTCTTCGAATGTGTTTAGTTGTCATAGATGGGGAAGGGCTATCCATTTCTGTACAAAACATATTCAGTTTTGTGATATGCATGGTCATGGATTGACCAGTTCATTTTTGTTTAGGTGTGTGAAGAAAAGTTCTCGTGAAAAAAGTCCTAAATTTACCTAGGAAAAAGAGTCCTCCGGAAAAAAGTCCTATTTTGAAACAGGATTTTTTGACAAAAGAATAAACAGTCTTTTTTAGTTTTTCATAGGGTTTATTGATTTTTATGCATTGTATATTCATACAACAAATGTAAAATAGATCGATCCTGTATACATTACAGAGGTTTTCAGCTTTATTCCTACTACAGAGTATTGATGAATATTAATGTCTACTGACAACATAATCAGTGACAAAAAAACCGTGCAGGGACACTTTGACACTTACAACTCATACCTTTGAAAACATTGTTTTAAAGATCAAAGATCAATTTGAATATCTAATCGGTCCGTTATAAGCACAAAATGTAAGTATTTCATGTTTCTAAATGTCATCTAAAGATCAAAGACCTATCTAAATATCTAATTTTTACCAAGGACCTTTTTTCTTACAATCTTTTTTTTAACAGATGATACAACTTTATTGTGTTTATTTATCTGAATTTCAATACTACAGCTTTTATCACTCAATCATCTTCTACAGTCCGTCATCCCTTTAAGTCGTGACTATGACACTACGACAGACGAGGAACTGACAGGTCTCCCGGAATAGATTTTGAGATGTCCCCCGCCATGACTGGCTGTTCCGTTTCTGCGGTTTCACCCCGCCGCAACAGATAACAACTTTTGCATTTTCAATGATGATAGTTTCTTAAACAACTTTTTGGATGGAGTCCGGAAAATTTTCAAATATAAGAAAGCTGTTGGGTATTAGTAAATGATAAACATGTGTACTATTTATATTTCTGTGGCAATTTTGTACAATGATAAAATTTGCAATTCATCGGTCCGTTTCTGACTCAAACAGACTGTATATGCCACACAAAATGATTGGAGACGATCAGAAAGTCTGTAAGACTCCCAGAATAAATTGATGCTTGAGTTGACAATGTTGTTTACACTGTCTCAATAAAAGAAGAAAACTCCCCATAATTCCTGGGAATCGATACCTGGGCTTGTCGTTTTAATAGTTTGTTTGTTTTTATTATACACTTAAATTTCACAAAGAATTCCAGCAACATGTACTTACTCTGCTCTTTCCTTGTAATCCTTTTTCTTCTCTAACATGCCCAATTTTGCTCGGGATTCAGGCTGAAAAATAGTTGTATACATCAGTTTTCATTCAATTGCTCCGGATTGATCTGACAAATACATGCGCTGTCGTGAAATTTACTAGAACAGTCTAATGCATGATATCCAATTAGTCGATGTATGATATCTATATAATCTATTATACGCATGTGCATATCTAAACTTTGTAAACACTGGCCATGCTTACGTCTCCTATTTTCGTGGCAATACTGCCATCATATAAATAAACGTGTGACATTTCTCAGTTTGAAAACACTTTACCTGACTCCTTTCTTTGTATGTCCGACGCAATGCCTTGTTTGCCTTCGTAAAGGACGCCATGGTTGTAGTTTCAGTCTGGAAGATGCTTTTATCTAAATCAACACACAATATTTCACGTGTGAGAAAGAGAACGGAAGTTGGCTATTTTTAGCCCTTATTCTCAAGAGAGCTTCAACAGGGGACATAACTGAGGATTGCTGAAACTCAGTTCATTCTGTCTGCTTCAGTGAACACTTGCTATTAACGCTCTGACAGCACTGAGCACTATATATACGTAGGAGCTAAATACTGGTTTTAAGTTTCATGTTTTTCATGTGTGTCTGTCATGTACAAAAACTTTTTTATCTTGGAGTACTGCAAAAAGAAAACAGTGAATAACTAATTTTCATATTCAATCTACATAAAACATTTATGTTTTTTAATACAAAGAAAATAATAATTGAATTTGAAGTAATGGAGATATTCTTCTTTATATCCCATAAACATAAGCTGTCATCAGAAAAACAGTGAGTGTATGTGTGTGAGTGAGTATGGCTCTACGCCGCTTTTAGCAATATTCCAGCAATGTCACGACGGAGGACACTAGAAATGGGCTTCACACGTTGTACCCATGTGGAAATTGTACATACAAGAAAGAGAACTGAGAAAAAGATTTTGGCGAATTTACAAATTTGATAGTTGTCGCGAATGATGCAATAATGTATATGGGTAGATGTTTTGTCAGTGAATATGGTCAGTGAATATGGGCCTCGTTTAGGTACAAGACGGTGTCAGCCTTGAAAGTTAATGAAAAACTGACAGACAGTTTATTCAGTAAAAAGGCCCCCTGTACGGGCATCGTTTGGTTGCATGAATCACGCATGTTAAAGAAGTGGTTAGGTTTCTCTTAGCTTGTGTATTCTATATCAATATATACATATGCTTGTGTTATAAACAACATAACAGTTTTCCGATGAGATGATTTCGTTACAGTCTGAGACTTGACATACTTTTTGAGATACATAGCTCTTTAAACGCTCACAGAGAAGCAAGACATGAATTCACCTTCTATAGAAGGTCTTCCACTTTCTATCAAATATATCCTTATCTCTCAAAATCAATTGCAAGTTTAGATCTGAACGTGTCACACATAGTCTCAGGTCTATACGGATAGGGAGGGAAACATAATTTGCTACATCTAACAGGGATTTTAAATACACAAAATAAACTTATCAGATAAATTGTGGCTAGAAATAGATCGTGATTGTTGAAGATTGTCAAATGTAATTTGTTCAGAAAGGCGAACAAATATATTCACATTGCCAACATGTTGTGTTGACAATATATATATATATATATATATATATCCATATCCATATCCATATCCATATCCATATCCATATTCATATCCAAACTTTGTATAGCCAAGGAAATTGATATAAGTTGCCCATATGGTGAGACAAGAGTTATTTTAGCACCAAACAGCTTTGGCGAGGTAATTTGTTCAAGTCTAAATGCAGTAAACTGCACCAGTACTTGATAACCCTTATGGTATATACAAGTTGGAGAGGGGCTGCACCACTCCCCAAAACCATTGTATTGTTTGTTGTTTCAGAAACCATTTACTCTTTGTATGATGTACATCTTCATTAACTTTGCAGTATGAAATACCCTGTACGTATACACCAATACAAACTTTAGAAACATCATATGTCTTTAACACATCTTGACCAGGTATATCACCATTTTTTTATATCTGTACAAAGCCATGTTACTCTGTGCAACAAGAGTAGTTTGTGCTTCAGTCCAAATACGGTTAAGCGCGAACACAATACCCAAATATCTATTTAAAAAAAGACCATTAATCTTAATCTTAATCATATTGTTTTAGATGACCGCCATTTTTTTCCCTTCAAATTCACCTTCATGGAATTGCAAAAAAAAAAGCAAAAATCTTTTCATAGTATAAGCTGCATGTGACATGGACACCCGCAATATTTATTGACATCAGGAAAACAAATTGTTTCTTGCAATATTTTCATGGTCTCGAATTTGTGTTTGAGAAAGATAAGAGCCCCTTTTAACCAAAAGGCGATGTCATACTACAAAAATAGCTGAAGATTTTCTTGTACAAGCAAATGCTAGTCTATGCACCATGAAATGTGTCGAGAATGTCCACACATACCGTTGTATATATACTCATGCCAATAATGGTTGTCACCCCCTTCAATTTTTTTAATTGGAGAGGGTGTGGGTGTGTGGGGGTTGGGGTGGGAGGGGGGTGACAACCATTATTGGCATGAGTATGTATACAAATGTAAATAGTTTAGGACTTTATTTTAGGGATTGATTTTTAGGGATTGATTGGTGTTCTATCTGAACACGTTAAGGATCTATCTTGAATACACGAAATAAATTATCGAAACGTTTAGAATTTAAACACGTTCAAACAAGTTTAAATATGTTTAGAATTTAAAAATGTATAAACGAAGTGTGTATATAAGCTATATGTCAAATATGGATGTATTGAAACTAGGTGAGGGCATCAGATTCAGTGGCACTTGTAAAACAGAGATGCCACCAGGACTTGGTATTATATTAACATAAACATGTACAAATAGACCAAGCTGAGATAATGATGACGACGACAAGTGACATTTGTGACGACACCAGTCTCCGCAGCAGAGGCGGAAACGTGGAAGACTACAAATCAAGGGGTAGCAGATGTCCATACCGCCCAGGTTTAAAATGTGGTGCGTTCATAAATATGTTGTTGTCTAACATACAATACTATACCTCTCTCATACAGACGTTTAACTTGTAAATACACTTGTAAATATGACCTAAACTGTCATAATTATGGAAACCGGGGACGTGTTAAGACCTGTATCCAGGATCTGAGTATATTTATACAGGGGTAATTGTGCTTAGTTACATATTACTGACTGACTGAGTTTGGTTTTACGCCGCTTTTAGCAATATTCCAGCAACATCACGGCGGGGGACACCAGAAATGGGCTTCACAAATTGTACCCATGTGGGGATTCGAACCCGGGTCTTCGGCGTGACGAGCCAACGATTTAACCATTAGGCTACCCCACCGCCCCGAGTTACATATTAAGTACTAGTGTGATCCTAACATGTCTTAGGGGTCGATTCCCCACATGGGTACAATGTGTGAAGCCCCTTTCTGGTGTCCCCGACGTGATATTGCTGGAATATTGCAAAGCGCGGCGTAAAACGAAACTCACTCAGTCCTAAACAGCAGCAACCAACCATGCATGCTGAAATAAAACTGAAAAATAAAATCCAAGATATTGCTAAAGGCGGCGATACAATGCCTATGATAAAGATGATTTTAGCATTGAAAGGCAAGGAAAATATATGATAATTATATGTGTAAGTTTCACCTCACCTCAAAAGAAACGTCCATGGCAATTAGTGTACAAATACAATGTAATCTCCACAACAACCTTGATCAGTATCTTCGCAGCAACAGCTCCAGATCCGTCATTAATCTACCTTTTTATTAACACCATAACCACTACCATCTCATTCGTGTAATTTGTAAACTACATTGTAAATACAGAAGGTGGTGATGAATTTCAACGTGGCATCCTCATCACAAAAAGTGAGTGAGTGACTTTAGTTGTATGCCGCACGCAGAAATGTTCCAGCTATATGGCGGCGGTCTGTAAATAACCCAGTCTCAACCCGACAATCCAGTGATCAACATCATGAGCAATTGGGATACGATGACATATGTCAGGCAAGTCAGAGAGCCTGATCACCCGATCCCGTTGTAGCCTCTTACGACAAGCATGGGTAACTGAAGATCAATTCTATCCCGGATCTTCACGGGTCTCATCACAAAAAGGGGCGGTGAGGTAGCCTTGTAGTTAAAGCGTTCGCTCGTCACGCCGAAAGCCCGGGGTCGATTCCCCACATGGGTACAATGTGTGAAGCCCATTTCTGGTGTCTCGCCGTGACATAGCTGGAATAAAAAAAGCGGCGTAAAACGAAACTCACTCACTCCCCAGCAACCAACCAGCCATCCTTAAATAAAACTGAAAAATAAAATCCCAGATTCTCTCAGGTTCAAGTTACGTACCGACTAACCCTCCCAGAATGATACAATGTCTTAATGTAACCATAAATAATTTGTTCAACCTTCTGTTGCCTGCCAAAGAAGGACAAGACAGCGTTTCTTGCGTGGAAACATTTCAGTATAACAAAGGGGGTATAAACTAGTCTCTCTCAAACAAGGAGGGGATTATATATGGTTTAACGCTGAAGTTTTATGTACGCGATACTTGACAGCGCAATGAGTGCGTTGAAGTGCGATTTTATATACGATATTTTATGTCATAATAGCCTGATAGTGGAACATGATTTATACTGTGTTCATGTACGGGAATATATAATTTAAAAGTAAGGTATACTGCCACACACTTTGGTTATGGCATATGAGGCGTCAGTTATCAACACTATGGTTTTGTTCCAGTCGTTTTTGTAGCTTATGTGATTTGTGAGATGTACAATGGATGTTGTAATTGTGTCTTCGCTTTGTGTCGTGGATTGTCTCTTTAGAAATTGTACTGACACGTCCAGATTATCTTTATTAAAAAGATACGTAGAGCAATCACAGGTGTTCTCATCTTTACTATGTTGATTATCTGCAAACAATTTGTAAGCATTTACGCATGTAGTGGATTTAATTGAGGATCTGATTAGGCACACTAGAAAAGTTTAGATTCAGTTAGATATCGTATATGACAAAACATGTTACGTAATCTAGATTTAAACGCAAGCGCCGAGCGTAATAGGTTTAATTGGGCTTCGCATATAAAAACAGTACTATTTAGATTTGGACTTGGCTATGCGTGGATATGGCAGGAAGTTGGAAATACAGATGAATTCTTAAATTTACTTGTAAGAAGAAGCAAAGATTGCTTTCTACAGGAGTGTCATGGAAAACTAAAAAATAGTCCCTGTACGTTTACGTATTCCCTGGAGAAAGAAAATTTCATGTGTGAACCCTATCGAAAAAAGTCACCCAACAAACAATCGCACACGCGTACCCTCACGCACACGAGGACAACATACAAACGGTGTGTGTGTGTGTGTGTGTGTGTGTGTGTGTGTGTGTGTGTGTGTGTGTGTGTGTGT